TTTAAAAATTTGTTTCAAGAGTGCGTTTTTGCAATTTTATTTTTTTTTTTTTAAATATTACCTATTAAAAATGTAAACACTACTGCCAGTGCTTCTAATACTAGTGGTATATGAAATATGTATAGAAGTTATTTTAAATATAAATAGTAGATGAATTGTGGTCAAGTTGCTGATTTGATGTTAATCAGAATCTGAACCAGAATCAGATTTACTGCCATATGCTTACATAAACACACAAGGAATTTGGAGAAATACACAGAATTTTTAAAATATAAATATATGTATGTATGGACACAATAGATAAGATATGCATGTACAAAATCTATACAGATACAATTATGCAAGAGAATGTAAATAACAAAGGTGATTCTGATTAAAAATTAAAATTCAGTAGTTTTCACCAGGGTGTCACATCTCCCACCTATTTGAGAGATAGTCATTACTTTGTGTCCCCGCTCTTTACAAAACATTCCTACACCCCTGGTAAGAAAATTATGTAAATGATGTAGATGCACAAACTATTTCTTCCACTTCAAAATATCCACCAGACAGCCCATGAAAAGATTTTTAGTATCTATATTAGTGTCCCTATAACGTCTTGAGAAGTTGAGCTAAAGATGTCCATATATATATATATATATTAATTCAATATGCAATCAGTGTTTTCTTGAAAGGACGTCACATTGGCATTCAGGGTATATGCTTTGAAATGTTTATTAGCACATGGGCTCAGACCCTCAGTCACCTTCTCTCCCCTGTATCCGGGTGAAGCATTGCTCTGCATTTAGAGTCTGAGAATAGACATTCAGAAATAGAAAAGAGTGCCTAGTAACTGCATCACTCCTGAAATATTAGTTCAGCAGCATTTATCATGCTTTATGGCAGACTAACCACACATAGGCCTACTAGATATTTTGAGTCATTTTTTGGCCTGTAATGTTGAGCACTGCGCTCAAGTCATGTAGCCACTGGTTAGATGATCTCTACTTAAAGGAACACTCCACTACTTTTGAAAATAGGCTCATTTTCCAACTCCCCTAGAGTTAAACAGTTGAGTTATACCGTTTTCAAATCCATT